TTTTTTAAAGGGCTGGGAGTGTAGCTCAGGGGTAGAGTACCCTAGGTTAAATACCCAATCCTGAAAAAGAGAAAGACAAAAGAAAAAGTTAAAACTGTTTGTTAACTTTGTGATCTGGGGGCTGTGAGAACTTGAGCAAAAGACTTGACCTCTTCATCTAAGATGCCCACTTTCCTGAGGGTCTCAGGGGATTGAGTAATACAGTTAAAGTACTTAAATTTGACAGTGAAATCTTTTTGAGGAGGGTACTAGGTCTTATTCCCTTTTGGATGCTCCTACATATGTACTTAGCAACAAGTACTCTGAGGAAACCTGGGTTCCATCCCCTGCACCACAAAAAAAGGATAAAAGGGGGCTGGGGTTGTGGCTCAGCAGTAGAGCACTTGCCTAGCATGTGCAAGGCCCCGGGTTCGATCCTCAGCACCACATGAAAATAAAATAAAGATATTGTATCCAACTACAACTTAAAAAAAAAAAGGATAAAAGGGATGACACCATAGATGGGCAGGTTGGAGTACCAATTTAGACACCAGAAATAGGAATGGGAGTGAGGGAAGGGTCACCTGTGAACATGGGCAGGATGAGCAACTTGGGAGGCAGGGGCTTATCTTACTTTTTGAAGTTTGCAGGAGGCATGATGTTGCCATGAGTATCCAGTGGAGGCGCTCTGACTTCACTCCTCAGCTTGAGTTTCTGCATCTCCTTCAGCTCCTTCTTTGTCTTCAAAATCACCTGGCTCTTCCTATTTATGTCCAAGAAGATGGGGGTAGAGTGGATGAAGGCCGGGAAGTTGTTTTTCCCAATCCAGGAGGGAGGAGGGATGGGGGTGTCTGCTGGGGGATAGTCGTGGGCATTGGAGTGGGTCAGCCAGCGCCAGACATTGCTGTCATAGGGCACGTCAGGGTGTGTGGGAAAGGTGGCAGGCAGACGCCCCACATCGAGCCACGTGTGAAAGCCCCAGCTGTGCTGGATTGTGTCCTTCCAAGGGTGGATTAGCCGGCGGTGCACTTTGGACTTCATATCTGAGTGGGGTGGCAGCCTCTGGGCCAGCTGGTGGTAGGCTTGCCGGGTAAAGCCAGGTAACTCGCAGGTCTCCCTGGGGAGAAGGAACTCGCGCTGAACCCACGTTTGGTGGGTCGGGAGGGATTCATTGGCATGGACCATCTAGGGAGAGACAAAAGGAAGCTGGGATGGGCTATGCAGGCAGGGGTGCAGGGACTGGGGGGAGGCATTCTACTGTCCTCCTCAGGAACAAACTGCCAACCTCCTGAAGCCCAAGACTCTCATCAAGCCATGATGGCCAGCAGGGAGTCATCTCTTGGCTCCTGTCCTGCCTTTCTGAAGTTATTGTAATATTCTCTGTATTATTTTCATGGATTGCTCAAATTTTCTTTCCACTGATAGGCTTTGATTTCCTACCTTCTCATCATTGTTGCCCCCTTTCCTGCCCAGGTACTGGTGCTCTCAAGAAAGCACATCGGCTGCAGGGTCTGTGAGGGGAAATGGCACATACCAGCCCATTCAGAAACCCTCCTTCCCTTGCTTCTGGACCTGGTGACACTCCAGGAAACAGGTCTAGTTGGTTTTCCATTTCAGACTCCTTTTACTATTTGTTCCTCTGTCACAGCACTGTCCCCTCTCTTATTAAAAGGCAAACAAGTATACAGAGTATCTAGAATGTCAGTTCCTCCCCTTTTTCTGTGCCCAGCCCCCACGAGATAAGTAGTAGCAAATGTCTTTTTTTATTTTTAATTGTAGGTAGACACAATACCTTTATTTATTTTTATGTGGTGCTGAGGATCGAACCCAGCGCCTCACACGTGCTAGGTAAGTGCTCTACCACTGAGCCCCAGCCCCAGCCCAGCAATTAAGTATTGACATTGTGCTCCATACTTAAGCACATCTCATTCAACCCTCATACTATGTAAGCAAGTATTGTTATTTTCCCTATGGTTTGGAAATGTCCCTCAAAAGCCGATGTGTTAAAGGCTGCTCCCCAGCCTGTGGCACTATTGGGAGCTGGTAGAATCTTTAGGAGATGGGGCCTAGTGGAAGGAAGTCTCTGGAGGTGTGCCCTTGAAGAGACAGTGGGCTCCCTGCCCCTTCTTCTTTTTGCTTTTGGACAACCATGAAGTGATGACTCCTCCACTGTGAGCTCTCACCATGACAGAGCAGCAGGACAGAACCACTATAGACCGAAACCTCTGAAACCATAACCCAAAATCAACCTTTCCTAAAGGAGGTTGTTTGTCTCAGATATTGTCAGAGCAAAGGAAACTATCTCAAAAGATGCAAAGAGCAAGACCCAATGAGTTAAGGAACTCACTCAGGATGCTGGGACTTGAGCTGTCTGTGTTCATCTTCAGCATATCGTTCTGTGTGAAATGCTTTTTTTTTTTTTTAAACTTATTTTTAGTTGTAAATAGATACAATACCTCTATTTAATTAATTAATCTATCTATCTATTTATTTATATGTGGTGCTGAGGCTTGAACCTTAACAAGTGCTAGGCAAGAGTTCTACCACTGAGCTACAACCCCAGGCTGTGAAATACTTTCACATAGCACAGTGCCCAGTGTGACCTGGCCAGGACAAAAATGTGTATCTGTAAAAATGCTTCTCCCTCCTGTCTACCCACGAGGATTTTCTGATTCCCCAAACCTACTTTTTCTTGGGTCTAAGTCATTTCTATAAGTATGTGGGGCTGGGGGATACATATGATACAGGTTGAGTATCATTAATCTGAAAATCCAAAATCCCAAATGCTCAAAATCTGAATTTGAGTACTGACAAGTCACAGTGGAAAATTCCACACCTGACTTTATATGATCAGTTGCAGTGAAAACACAGGCATACTAAACACATTGCATAAAATTACCTTGTATAAGGTATATGTGAAACATGTGAATTTGGGGTCCTCTCCCCCAAGACATCTAGCAAATATTTCAATATTAAAAAAAAAAATTCTTGAAACACTTTTGGATAAGCATTTTGGATAAGGGATACTCATCTGTGCTAAGTAGGCATCTCCTCTGTTTTGAGCTCTGTGCCAGCAGCATCATAGGACCAAGAGGGAAACACAGGGGAGAATTCACCACAGCCTCTAGCCCAGGTGGAGAAAAAGGTAGGCTCCTCCCCCTACCTTCAGGAAAGGCTCTCTGACACAAGATGAATTGCTCATCCTTCCTCTGAGTGATTTTTGTGGGTTACTAGCCATTCTTCTTCTGGGCGTCAGAGCCAGGAGGGGTGGCTTAGTGGGGAAGCCCTTTCTGGCACCATTGTTTGTTTCTAGGGTCGCTATGGTGATACTTCCTGGCTGGTGACAAGAGAGGAGGCCCTTACCTGTCACCAGAGACTCTTCAGGCCCTCGGGATCCTGCCTCCTTTTCAAGTGAGACAGGCAGAGAGTGGGAAGGACTCTCTTGACAGTTCTGGCTGCAAAAAATGGTGACAGGAACTGTTTCTGGGAAGGAACTTGCTAGGAAGACTTGGTAAGGAGAATAACCAAACAGGCTGGCTTCTAGGTCTCAGGCTGGGAATGAGGTTTTAGGAAGGCACCTGCAGTGCAGCCCATTTTAATCTAATGTTTTTTGGGGCCTGCCACTCTTACTGAGAGCTGACAGAATCCTAAGTTAGCCAGTAGGCACAGAGGCCCCAAGAACAGATCTATGACAGGGAAAAGAGGGAAAATTGGCAATTTCTGTGTCAGAGAGGATATATGCTCCAGCAGAGTATGGCAGGGAGGGGATTCTGCAAAAACCCTGTGCATTCTCCCAGTGCTACCACTGAGAGCTGCAGGCCTTGTTTCTCCCCATTACCACCATATCCACCATCACCCACTTTCTTTTCCAACTCTTCCAGATACTGAGACCACAGAGACAAGCAGGTCCACCCTGGATTTTATTTGGTAGGTAGTTACAGTAGTGTTATTGAGCTGGCTCATGTACATGCAGTCAGCTGGGCCCACGGTGGCTCTTTGCAAAGCTGAGGTGCAAGTTAAGGAAGCCAGGCAGGTCAGGGGTCCTTTCCACCTTCTCAAGCCTCTGCCTGAGTTCTCGTCAATTCTAGTCTCCCTGGCGTGATTAGGGACATTATCAGAGAAACATCTAATAAGGGGCACATCTGGGCACTTATTCACTTTGCTGTAGATGCATTTATCCAACCACCCCAAAATTCAACTCTTGACCCGATACGAGACCTTTTAAACCAGGATTTCTTGCAGGAAAGCTGACTTGGAAACATGGGGAGGTAGGAGGAAGGAGCAATAAGAGGGACCCTGGGAAGCAGATTGGGTGCCTACAGTAAAGAACCCTTGAGCTAGGTACCTTGGGTCAGGAAGAAACCTGCACTGCAGGTCCTGCCCTTCTCCAGGAACCAAAAGCAAGGAATAGAGGCAAATTGCAACCCCTTGTTACCCTGCCCACCTTCTGGCAGTCTCTAGATAATGATCTAAGGAAATAAGCTTACATTTATAATTAGAGGATAATTTGGAAAATTTACACTATTTACAAGGGTCACCCTACAAGGAGCAGGGAAGGTGAGACTGCTGGGCACAGAATGAAAACGGTTTGGGGAAGTACTAACTCCTTTTTACCGTTACTTTTGCCATTCTCACCCTTCAGCTTATGGCAAGGGGAGTAGAGGAATCAGATTCTCTCAAGAAGCATAGGTGGCACAGAGACCAGTTACCCTACTGCTTGCAAAGGTCCCAGCAGCAGTTAAGGTGTGACTGCTGCCTTGGCATAATCAGGCTGGGGAGCTAAGAGGAGCAGCACGGTCCCTGCCTGCTGTCCTCACTCAGAGGGATTGGGGTACACTGAGCCTTGGGACTGCTCAGCCACAAGAATGCCTGGAATGGTGGACAGCTTGAGCAGCAAGGCAAGGTCAAGTCCAGTCTCTACCGTAGTTCAGGAATAAACTGAGACCAGGTGATGTTGTCAGAGCTCAATGGGTCCTCCTCCAGGCCAGGGAAGCTGATATCCAACAGGATCTTGCTGAGGCTGTCATTCATCGTGTCCAGAACCAGACCTTCAGTCAGAGAACGATTGGCTGAAAGACTGGGAACCTGAAGCTCTGGAGAGCCTGGCTTGGGAACTTCCAGATCAGAGGGGGAAGAGCTGCTAAAGGGGTCAGAGGCAAGATCAAAGGGTTCTGAATTGAGGAGCTCTCGGGGTGAGTCAAAGAGGGGAATGCTTTTCAGCGGCGTGGTGCTCAGATCCATCAGCCCCAGGGAGTCAGGCAGGGAGCCAAAGGCGCCCTGGGGGGTTCGTACTGGGCTGAAATCAAGACCCTCTGCTTTGGCTGGGGGTGTGAGCCTCCAGGATTCAGGGGTTTTGGGGAGGATAGATTTGCTCGGTGTGGAGGAGATGGGCAGAGTCTCCTTAATGGGGGTCTTGAAAGGTCCTCCCTCCTCCTGGAGGCAGCTCAGGTGGGAGACAGGCTCTGCCAGGAGGGGGGCCTCAGTAACTCGACGGGATGTGCTGGGGCCCTCTGAGAAGACCAGCTCAGGCTCATCCAGACAGGGAGGCTGCAGATGCTGTTTCCTTCGAGACCGGCTCATCTCCCTCTTCTCCCTTCGTTTAATCACGAGCATTTCTGAGACACATCGGGCTGGGGACTTAAGCCCACTGTAGGACTTCTTGGGTCTTGGGGTAGGAGAGCAGGATGAATCCTCCCAGGAGTGAGACAGCTCCTCTTTGAATGATGGGCATGGGGAGGGCCACTCTTCCAAGGGAGGGCTCTCCACTTTGATGGGTCTTGCTAACTGTGGCATGTCCTCCCCATGCTGAATTTCCTCTTCCTTGATGGACTGAACTGGAAGCAAAGGCAACAGCCCTTCTCCAAGCAGGGGTTTCTCCTCCTTCACTGGTCCCGCAGGAGGAAGAGGGGCTATGCCCTCATCAGCTAGTAGCAGCTGAAAGGGAAGCAGAGGCAAGGTAAAAGGGGTCACACATTCAACCAGCTGCTACACCAAACAGGAGGGAACCATCACCAAACAAAGTGACATAGTGGTGCCGATCATCTTGTCATACTATTTTAAATTTTCTTTCCTTTTTTTCCCCTTTGCGTTGCTGGGGATGGAACCCAGGGCCTCATGCATGCTAGGTTAAGTACTCTACCACTGAAATATGCCATCAGCTCTCTTGTCTTTTTAAAATCTTAAAAGCTTTTAAATATGTTTCACTTTTTTTTGTGTGTGTGTGGTGCTGGGGATTGAACCCAGGGCCTTGTGCATGCGAAGGAAGCATTCTACTAACTGAGCTATATCCCCAGTCCTTAAAAGCTTCTTTTATTTATTTTTAAATTCTAATTTTTATTTATAACAGCAGAATACATTACAATTCTTATTCATACAGATAGAGCACAATTTTTCATATCTCTGGTTTTTATACAATTAAAAGCTTCATCTAAATATGAGAATATAATATATATGATGAAGGTGGTAATTCCATTCTGGGGATAAAAGATGAATGAATTGGAATTGGGGGTATAGCTTAGTGGTAGAGCACATAGAGCACATGCTCAGTAACAGAGGCCCTGAGTTCAATTCTTTTTTTTTTTTTTTAAAAGAGAGAGAGAGAGAGAGGCAGAGAGATTTTTTTTTTTTTTTAATATTTATTTTTTAGTTTTTGGCGGACACAACATCTTTTTTTGTATGTGGTGCTGAGGATCGAACCCGGGCCGCACGCATGCCAGGCGAGCGCGCTACTGCTTGAGCCACATCCCCAGCCCTGAGTTCAATTCTTAACACCAAACAGGAGGGAAAAAAAGGTAAGAATATTTAATGTGGTACTGGCATAATTAGAATCCACCTCAGAGAAAATAAAATTGAATATCTATTTTACACTGGGTACAAAGATTTCTTTGTGGTGTTGGAGATCAAACCCATTTATACAAAGATTTAAACATAAAAATTAAAATTTGAAAAACATACAAATCTTAAAAGAGAATCTAGAAGACTACATGCACAATCTGAGGGTAGGGTGACCTGCTTAACCAAGACTGGAAGCCCAGAAGCTGCAAGAGAAGAAAGACATATTTGATTACATACAATTTTACTGTGGCCAGAGAGACCATACACAGGAACCAAGCAGGAGAAGCAGAAAAATATCTTCAGCATAAACACAGAAGTCAATATTTTACTAACAGAGCTCTCACAAATTAATAACAAGACCTACAGAAAAATGTCCATTTCATAAATAAGCAATTCACTGAAGACAACTTCAAGTGACCAAATATAATGAGAAGGTGCTCAATCTTATGAATCAACAAGGAAACATAGCATTACACTGGCAAATATTGGTAACCCTTTTTTTGGTGGTGGTGGTGCTGGTGGATCAAACCTAGGGCCTTGCTCCTGCTAGGCAAACACTCTACCACTGAGCTCCATTCCCAGCCCTGAGATTGGCAAATATTAAAAAGACTAATAATACCAATTGCCAGTGATAATATAGTTCTTATATTGCTGTTTGAAATATGAATCATCACAGGTTTTTGGAATACAATCTAGAAATATTTAGTAAAATTTAGAATACCTTCTCACTTAGCAATTTCATATCTGGGACTTTATCTCATAGACATAAAAGCACTAGTAAGAAAGATTGCTGCGAAGATATTTATCACATTATTGTTCATAGGGTAAAAACCCAGAAACAAGGGATGGGGTTGTGGCTCAGTGGCAGAGCACTTGCCTTACACATGTGAGGCAATGGGTTCCATCCTTAGCACCACATAAAAATAAACAAACAAAATAAAGATATTGTATCCTTGTATAACTAAAAAACATTTGGAAAAAAACAACAGCCCAGAAACAAAATATTTCCATAAAAAATATAAGAGTTCAATAATCTGTGAATGTTACGCGGACATAAAAAGCAATAAATTAGAACTATACCAAGTACCTGGGAAGAACTTCTGTGACGTCTTTTTTGTGTTTAGTACTGGTGAATGAACCCATGACCTTGTAGACAGAGTTGGCAAGTGCTCTATCACTGAGCTACACTCCCAGTTCTCCATCCTCTTTTATCCTATTATATTTGAGACAAATCTTGCTAAGTTGCCCAGAATAGCCTTGACCTTGTGATCCTCTTGCCTCAGTCTCCTCTGAATACTTAATATTATAAACATGGGCCACTGTCTTTTTCTAACCCAATAAGACCTCATGGAAGCCAGGCACAGTGGCACCTGTATCCCAGTTACTTGGGAGGCTGAGGCAGGA